ATAATATCCAAATGGAACTGGACATAGATAATTAAAAAGAGTCTGTGGAGCTGTGAACATCAGGTCTCATCGCTGTATTAATAAGGAGATCACTGAAGGCTAACAAATTTGCTTATTCTGCAATTAGCAATGTAGGTTAATGTTAATAAGGAAGAATAAGCACAACATGTAATTTTCATTACTTTTACCATCTTATCGTGGTCAGGTTAAAAATCATTAGGAAATTTCTAGAAGATTCACAGTGAGTGCCCCGGAAAAGGCAAGATCCAGCAGGGAAGAGAAACTTCTCATTTGGAAGTCCCTCTTAATGAGACTTCACAGAGACTTAGATGGTAGAAGTCCTATCATTTCTGTTGGCAGGGAGGAGTCTTCATTAATTATGATACTTAGAATTACTTCTTAGAATGGGTGAATTTCCTATTGATTTTATAAAACTCATACTTGATTGCAGGTTTGATTGGAACTTTGTAAAATTCAGGTACCTTTAATAATAAGCTTTTTAATTATAAACAATATGTAATGAGTATAGAAAATGCATGGGGCCAACATTGTGGCTTAGCAGGTTAAGCCACCACCAGCAGCACCGATATCCCATATAAGTGCTGGTTTGAGGCGCAGGTGCTCCACTTCCCATTAAGTTCTGTGCTAATGGCCCGGGAAAGCAGGTGAGGATGGCCCAAGTGCTTGGGTCTCTGCATGCGTATGGGAGACCTGGAAGAAGCTCCTGGCTCCTGGCTCTGGCCTGGCTCCAGCCATTACGGCCATTTGGGGAGTGAATTGGTGGGTGGAAAAATCTGTTTTTCTCCTCTCTCTCTGTGACTCTGACTTTCAAATAGATAAATAAATCTTTAAAAAGAAAAAGAAATCTAGACACAGAAGGGAAAAAAAGTTAGAAAGTGAGCATAGTTCCTCATTTGGAGACACATCCTGGTACCCACAAAAGTAGAAAATGAGATCTTGTTGTCTGTAGCTCTGTGTCCTACATTCCTGTTACAGTATCTTGCAGACAATTTTCACACCATTAAAATTCTTTGACATTATTGGATCATAAGAATCTACAAT